CTCTGTGGTAGGATTAGCTAGCTTTTGCCTGCACCGTTGCATGTTTGCATGCCTAATTCCCATACTCGGACTTAATTTTACTAAATTATTACACCATTTTTTAGTTATTGCACGATTTACAGCCCGTAAAGTGAAAACAACACTTGTCAGTTGTGCATTTGAGCGATAAATTTTGACTGTTGTCTTGCAAAATAGCTGCAGCTGTATCACCTATAATTGGTTATTTTAAAACCCAGGGTGCAACGCACCAAGCTTGCCGCTGCGGCCACGCGCATTTGCACTAAATGCGCAGATGGCTAATAGCAGGGATGAGCCTTGCACTGTAGTCTAACACTTGAGCTCATATTCGCCGTGCTTTGGCCTCTTCCGGCATGCAGGAAAAAGGGTGATGGTTGGGAGGAAGGTGTTGCATTATAGGGCCGCACGGACCTCCAGGTGCATGATTAGCAGTTTTTTTTTTGCACAAAGTCCGTCGTTTTTTGCGTTTTTGCTGTGGAGCTATAGCGCTGCTACAGCGAGCAAAAATGCATATTGTCGAGAAGTTGTCTGTGTGTGTTCGGAAGTGAGTGAACTTTGTCACCTACCTTCATCTGAACAACCAAGAAAGCTGGGAGGCTGAAATTTTGGGTATGTTTCCTACTCCGTGTATCTCATCCTTCCATTTCAAAATTTTCGCTCACACTGCCTAAGTCCCGCTTACAGTCCTCCGAAAAAAATATGCATATTTTTTGATGGGAAACGATTTCGCGAACCAAGAAAGGTACAAAGCTGAAACTTTGCGCAGAGATTTTCTGTGCATATGCGAGTTAAGAATTTTAAATTCAGCTGTCGCGGACGCTTGTGCAGTGTGCACAGTCACCTCAAAGTCTGCGCTTGGCACTGCCCTAACTCGAAAACTCGCCAGGCAATAGTGGCTGAAATTTTGTCAGCATGTTCTTCGCCCATATGGGAAATCGTGTACCTAAAATAATTTCCGACTTTTATTTGCATCATAACTTAGGGCACTTCAAATCTTTGAGTTGTGTGTAGACGGGGAACATAACCTCAAAATTTCAGCTTTCTATCTTTTCCCGTTTCCAAGCTGTCAATTTTCCCGCCAAAACTTTCATCCCCTCGGATGCGGGGCCCAGACTTGCTTGAGGGTTGGTACCACGGTTCTGGGGCGACACTTGGCTGGGGAACCTACTGGCAAAGTCTTGGCGCTGGAGCTTGCTTTGTTGCCGAGTTGGAATACCCGGACAGACGAACACATACACACACACAAACATACACACACAGACAGGGCCGTCGCAATGTGCGTTTTTACAATTTGCATATAGGCAAAAACGCATAATATTGGCCAACGCACGGGCTGGCCGTGCGAAGATGCGTTTTTGCAGAGTTCCGCGCAGTTTTTGCCGCTACCGGCACTGGCTTTTTCGGCAAATGATTCTAGCTGGAAGAATTTCAGACTGGCCGCCGGAACTGTCAGGAAACATCCCCTCAAAATTCCAGTCTTCTAGCTCCTCACGTTCTCGAGTAAGTAACTTA